AGAAGCTGCCAGTGCAATGCTTTTCTCATGGAAATTGAGATTTCTTTTCTCACTTATGAAGTTGCAAGCATCGGTAAGTACAGTTTTACTTCACTAAAGGAGAATAACATTCACTGCAATTCATGATGGTGATTTTTTTACGGGTAATTAGCATAAATGGTAACAAACCTTTGCACTTAGTACAAAACGGTCACAAACCTTTAATTTGTAACAATACGGTAACAAAACTTTGAAATTGTATGAAACGGTCACCGCTATTTAATTTGTGACCGTTTTGTTTTAAGTGCAAAGGTTTGTTACCGAATTGTTACAAATTAAATGTTTGTCATGTTTTGAGGTCGGGTAGTTTGTTCGTTAAGTATATGACACTAACCACTTGAACGACATATAAGGTCATGTGTTCATCGACATATTTGCTTTGCCGAATAAGAATGCCCTCAGTTGACCTTTGAATTTCGATACCAAGAAAGTAAGAAAGTAGACAGTTTTTTCAACTAAAAAGCAGTCTGGAACCCGTTTGTGAGCCATTGAATTCTTTCATTGTCATCCTTTATGATGATCATATCATTCACATACATTAACAAAACCACCATACAATTAGAGCGAATTGTAACGGTGATTGATCGTTCAAACTTTTGAACTTAATTTGTACAAAACGGTCACCAAAAGTTTAATTTGCAACGACATGGTAACAAAAGTTTGAACTGGTATGAAATGGTCACACTGTTGAATTTGTGACCGTTTTGTTCTAAATAAAATGTTTTGTTATCAAATGGTTACAAATTAAAGGTTTGTGACTGTACTAAGTGCAAAGGTTTGTGACCATTTATGCTAATTACCTTTTTTTACGTGCATTTGTATCTTGCTTCTAGATTTGAGTTTTGTTAGTGCCACCTCGGTTCTAGAATGCTTGTGAATACTGCATACCGTGAAATTCAGGATAGTAGTCTGTGATATACGTCATATGTAGTTTATTATTATTATTATTATTATTATTATTATTATTATTATTATTATTATTATTATTTTCTTTCGGAATTCTCTTTTCTTTTACTTTCATTTCCATCATTTACTCTAATCGCATGATCTGTATCTCTATGATTGTTTTTATCTAAACTACAAATTGTTTGTTGCCGATAATATTGTAGAGGAGTCGAAGGGATATATCATGCATGGACAGCCTTGATGCAATAAACCTTCATTCCAATTCAATTTTACCGAGCTTTTTGTTACAATTATTGTTTATGCACTATCTATTGACTTCCTTTATAGTTGATGATTTGAGTTTGGTTGTTTTTCCATTCATCAAGTTCCTTTATTCGCTTAGATTACTTTTCTTTGCTGTGACTAAAACAGTTGTTATTTTCTATCTTACTTTTACTATCATGCTTGCATGAAACCGTGACCAAATCCCTTATTCTAATAACAATCTCTATTTGTTTCACAAAAAATAAAAAGTCTATTTATCTCCCCACTACATAGGTACATCCAATAAAAACATGCTTAAAAAAGGTTACAATATGTACCATACAATACCTAGCCTAATCTCTCGAAGTTTATAATTACAACTAATAATATTGAATCCTGTTAAGAAGCACTTTTAAACAAATTATTCTAACAATAACAAGTGTAAACTTTTCGTTTGAAATATGAAAACAATATAAACAACATTATGCTAGGATAACCTGATCAACCCAAATACATATGAACTAATTAGCACTAATATCACAATCAACAAGTAGTATAAAGATTACTTTGAAATCATTAATAAACTATTTAGAAAATTCAAAATCATTTCAAAATAAAATAAATGCATTGACTAAACAACAACAAATGAAACGAAATTCATCCGACCAACGGGTCGGGTAAAAGCTAGTAATACACAAGTATAAAATGCTATTAACCTTTTCTTTTTTTTTTTTTTTGCTTTTTAAGCATGGAAGTTTTTGTTGGAGAATCACAACAAAATTGGCTCCATGCTTCTTCTTTTTTCTTGGCTCTCTTTGGCTTTGATAGGCTTTTAGCATTGGCTTCACTCCCGCCAAAGCCTACGAGTTTAAATATTTTATTTTCATTTTCGTTTCTTTAAATTAAATGAGCAGAGATTATATATATATATGGTGACTACTTCGGTGTACTCACAAAGATGAGTGCGTTCAATGCACCCAACTCAAAAACTAGTCTTAAGGTGTCCGATTTTGAATTTTAATTTGTAAAATTAGTGTAATATGTTGATATAACATATGACGACAACTAATTAACGGATTACCCTAAGCTCTAGACCTCCAATTTTGAATTCTATCCCTAAACCCCAAATTGTAAACCCTAACCCTAATCTTAAATCTCTAAACTCTAAATCCTTCAAATTAAAGCAAATCTTGAGTGGTTTTTGTGAAATTCATGTGCTTTATGTTTCATCACATCATAAGTGATGATTGACATTATTTTCACATGAATCGCATGTTTAAAATGACGGTTATGAAGCGAGTGCATTGAATGCAGCCAAAAAAGTGGGTGCATTGAAGATGCCACCATATATATATGGGGAGTTCTAGGGTACCCACGGTGAAATCCGGGGTACCGCATACCTTTAAGAAAACGTTATCCAGAACTTGAATTGACTGATCGTTCGGACATGATACTATACTCCAACCCTTCAACATCAAAATCTAGGTCTTAATTCTCTAAATCTTATACCACAAGATCAAATTAATTAGAAACAATAATCGACGGTTATGATTCATCCAAATATAGGCAAAAAAATTCAATGCACCATCTTAGGGTTTATAGTTTATGATTTAGATAATTAGAACGTAGGTTTCACTCATTAAGGGTTAGGGTATAGTATCATGCCCAAAAATCGTGCTAATTCGAGGTTTAGATAGCGTTTTCATACTCAAGATATGCGGTACCCCGGATTTCACCATATATATATATATATATTCTGGATAACGTTTTCTTACTCAAGGTATGTGGTACCTTGTGTGTGTGTATATATATATATACGGTACCGCATACCCTGGGTGAAATTCGGGGTACACTGGGTGAAATCCGGGGTACCCTGGGTGAAATCCGGGGTACCGCATAGGCACATACCTTGAGTAAGAAAACGCTATCCAGAATTTGAATTGACTAATATTTTGGACATGATTCTATACTCTAACCCTTAAAGATCAAAATCTAGGTCTTAATTCTTTAAACTTTATACCTCAAGATCAATTTAATTAGAAATAATAATCGACGGTTATGATTCGTCCAAATATATGCAAGAAAATCATTGCACTATCTTAGGGTTTATAGTTTATGATTTAGATAATTAGGACCTAGGGTTCACTCATTAAGGGTTAGTGTATATTATCATACCCAAAAATCCTGCTAATTCGAGATCTAGATAGCGTTTTCATACTCAAGATATGTGGTATCCCGAATTTCACCCGGGGTACAGTAGAAGGCACTATATATATAATTCTATTTTCTTTTATCACACGATCATATAAAGTCTACAAGAAGTCATTCCTTGGTGTAGTGAGTATGTGCTTAGGACTTGCTAGCCTCGTATCTATATGTGTCGCATCTTCCTTGGTGTAGTGAGTATGTGCTTAGGAATTGCTAGCCTCGTATCTATATGTGTCGCATCTTCCTTGTAATGGATTTTCCATGAAACAAAAAAGGAAGAAGATTATATTTATAAGAATCCTCTCTTCGGATCTATAACATGTTCACTCAGATTCGTCATGCATAAGCATTAAATTGATTGGTAAGTATATGGGAGTAGATAAGTGCTATAAACTCATGCATAATCTATTAAGAATCCGCCATATCAGCGCTTTTTCTCGAAAAATCTTTAATTTTTTTCTCTTATTCTTTAACGGGCGATTTCTCGCTCGTTTTAACTCAGAATTTAATTATTTTGCACAGTTAGATCAGATTAATTGTGTTCTTCAAAATGATATCCACTTTGATATTTTTTGGAACAAAAAGAATTTGTCAGTTATTACCAGTCTATACCATATGGTATTGACTGTACCATATGGTATCGAATGGTATTAAATAACAGCATACCATATGTTATGAAAAATACCACCCCATACCAGGGTAGTATAGTATGGTATGGAATTGGTAACGAGAGGTATGAATTTTTTTCACCCAGAAAAATTTGAAATCCAATAGATCATGATTAAATCGTTCCTTCTGTGCAAAATTTTTTGAAAACGACTAAAAAAACGAAGGAGATACCACATGGTATGGATTTGGTAACGAGAGGTATGAAATTCATTTTCTCAAAAAATATTGAAAATGGATATCATTTGTAGAGCACAACAAACTCGTTCCATCTATGCAAAAAAAAATTGAAATCCGAGTTAGAATAAAGAAGATATGATCCAATCAAGAAAAATATGGAAAATAAATTCGTTTAATTCTTTACCATTAGATTTGCAGCCACTTAAAAGAACGGTCCAGATTTGGTTACTCATAATTATGCACCCTAAGATTATGCACCCTATCTTGATACTAAGTATATAGAGGGGTGAGGATAGATTAGCACTTCACTTTGTCTGACCTCTTGCTCCTCTACTCACGACTCTTTTTTATCTCAATTGTCTTTATTTTTATTATACTCCAACAATAAGATTCAAGCAATTTAAAATGTTCATTCTATAATTTTATCAAGAAGTCGCGTTCATAACTCAAATGATTAATCTCTATAATGCATCAGGTTGAAAGGCATGAAAGTAACATAGCAAATTCAAAAAGAAATCCAGAAAACTAAAACTGAAACATAACTTAAACACCTTGTGAAGCAATATGCCAAAAAATTGCATCATTATTGAGAAAGGAAATACTAAATAGATGCTGATTAAAGTTATACACAGATCATCAACAGAACAGATCCATACCATTTTCAACATCAAACTCCTAATGTCTTTGGATAATAATAAACACAAGAACAAACAGATAATGAAAAAATGCAGCAAAGCTTTTGATAAGCATTATCAGTCATAGCATACAAAGCTATATTCATACTCCATTAAACTTGAATCAAATGCAGCAAAGCTTTTGATAAGCATTATCAGTCATAGCATACAAAGCTATATTCATACTCCGCTAAATCTAGAGAAAAGGAATCAAATGCAGCCAACTCCCAAATCAGTTTGCCTCTTCCCTATCATCAATTAACATCCTAATTTCCTATAAGACACTAAGCAAGGTTCAGAAGCTACTTGGCTTTATCAATGGAAGATGTGGTCTTAGAACCTATTTGGGGATGCTCAACTCCATTAGCTCCGCGGCCAACGCCATACCCATAGTTCGGCCACACAACGTTATCATACCCATAAGTTCCATTAGTCTTGAAAAATCACCTGGTGTGATCAAACTCAGGCGGTTGGCTCATTGGCTTAATAGACTTCGCCAATGAAAGTCTTTGTCCAATATGGACAGCGATAGAGCTTGATCTTCCTCCTCGTCTTCTTCGTTGTAGTCATAATCTGTCTCCTCATCCGCCTCCACATAACCTTCAAGATCCTTGTATGGCTATTTACACCCAGGATGATTCTTGCCATCATTATAAGTTTAGAACTTCCATAGTCCAAGTAATAGTCTTGACAAACCTTGACCCCTCATCCAGCAGACCAACCCAGATTTTGAAGACGTCAGATGTTGATTCTCCGTAATTGAAAGCTAACTGGTTCCCAAGAATTGTCAGCCTCTCTAGAAGCCCAAGTCCCAGGCCACTGAGACCCATCAAACATCCAGAGTAGCCTTGGCCACTTTGACAAAATCAAAAGCCGAAATGCCGCTGCCAATTTCCATCTGCTTCTTCTAGTGCACGATACTTTTGAGTGCTCCAAGCCTATTCACTCTAATCCTCCTTCAATTTAGACTCATTTTAACCCTCGGGTTCTCATTGATTGAAAGCTAAACAGCCAGCCCATACAAATCCTCCTTAAATTTAGACTCACTCTAACCCAATAGCAATCCCAAATCCAACCTGGAAATGAGAATGGGGAAATGTAAGCCCCGACCAGAAGAATAACACACAATGCTACGCCCCAACTTTGAAGAACCCCACCAACAAAACCTCAATGGAGAATTGTACACAACCAAAGCACCATTCTGCGTCCCTTCCTCTGATGCTTGAAGAATATCTAACCTTCTCATCACCATCAAAATCTTCACCGAGTTTGATGCCCCTTTCCTGTATCCAGATTACAGTCAAGAGATTCAATGACTTTTACAACAACAAATAGAATAAAGCAAAGCTTCGAGAGAGCCCTCAATCATCTATGTTAAGAAGCATAACGGTTACAAAGAATCTGATACGATTATGCATCCAACTTCTATAGAACTTAGAATGCAAAACTCTTACCTGAAAACTCCTAGCCCTTTAAGCATCTCTGACTCTTTAGATTGTGCGCTGCTTCCCCTGAAACCCTAGACGAATCTGCATCAGATTTAATGTCGATTACTCCTCCCCGCAATTGGGGGATGATTACAGAAGACGAGGGCAAGGATTGGCGCTACATGAATCGTCGGAGTTGATTCAGTCTCAAGGGCTGCCACTTAACTGCTACCGACACTACCTGGGTCACGAACCACCAGAGCACTCCGATTGAGTAGACCACGGAGGAGGAGCTGACGGAAGTCAGATGCAAGGAGTTGAGAGCCGTTAGGATAAAGTGGTTGTTGGATTACTCTAGCGTAAGTAAGAGCGGAGGCGACCAACGTGTTGCAAATGGGAGAAAGAGAAGAGGATTATAGGTGACGGAGGAAGAAGCAATGGAATCGTCGTGGGTGGTTACTGGAAGAAAGACCTTGAGCGACTGGGGACGGATCAGAACAGAAAGACCGAAGAGGAGAAGGTTTAGAGAACGACGATAAAATCCCTCCGAAGTGTGCGGCGCTTTCAGCAAAGGGTGACGTGGCAGCTGTTGTATTTTAACATTTTTTTTTTTTGCCATAGATAGATTATAGATAGACAGGAGATTACAATGGGTTGAAAAGTAAATAGCGGCAGTCGACCGAATGTCGAGCTGCCGATGCAAGGGCCGTTTTAGCCACTAAATGGGCAGCCCTGTTAGTCCTACGAGGAGCAAAAACAAACTTAATGAAAAAGAAGCTTGACTTCAGCAGGCGGATCTCCTCCAGGATTGCCCCACCGGATTCATGGTGCACCTCGTTCTCCGTTGCCCGACGAGTAACTAGTTGGGAGTCTCCACAGAAACAAACATTATAGTATCCATGGTTAACGCACCATAACATAGCATCACGAAGAGCAAGAAGTTCCGCAAGAAATGGATCATTCAAACCTGGATAGAATTTACCGTAGGCACAAACTAAGGAAGAACCTTCAGCGTACCCAACGAAACCCACGCTGCCACCTGTGGCTCTATTGAATGCGCCATCAAATCGAAGGAGGAGTCCCCCCGGAGGATTGGAGACGGACGGATGAGATACCGAAGGAAGCCTCCTTGCTGTTTGCTCTCTCGGCTGGCTAGACGAGGCGTCCTGCCACTCCTCCACTTGGACCCGAAACTGGCGGTGAAGAGCTGGGGGAAGGTACTGCACATGATCATGAACAGACCAGCACCTCCCCTTCCAAATGCGCCAAACCAGGAATACAACTTCACCAACCTGCACTTTTGACAACTGGGAGTTAAAGAAAATGTGATGCCAGGCTGCATCCAGGCTGAGTTGACAGACCGCCACACGGATTGCATCTAAACCAGCTAAATCCCATACTCCCCGCGCTATCCTTTGCCCCGCTCGCCTGCTCATAGAGCTCCAGTAGGTGAAGAAGATAGCTGCACTCGGGTCCGGAGGCCCGCAGGAAGAGGTACGAGTCGTCCGCGAAAAGGAGGTGAGAAATCGAAGGAGCCCGGCGGTGAATCTTCAATCCATGGAGCTGGTTAGAGTTAACAGCTCCAGAAATCATGGCGGAGAAGGCTTCTGTATAAATTGCAAAAAGCAGGGGGGAAAGAGGGTCCCCTTGGCGGATACCTCGCTGCGGTCTAAAGTACCCATGCTCAGCCCCATTAAGAATCAAGGAGAAGGACACAGAAGTGACACACGCTCGGATCCACTTCATCCATTGATCATTAAAACCCAAAGCCTCCATAACTGCAAAAAGAAAGCCCCATTCGACACGGTGTTGTATTTTAACATTCACTTATAGGATTTTGTAGATTTTTGTTAAGTAATCATATTCTCTTTCTAAGAAGTGATAATTGAGTACGAGTCTTTTTCAATCAAATAATTGAGTTTCTTAGTTACTTGTTAGTCATGCCAATCTCTTTTTTTCCTTTTTCTTTTCACTAAAAAATGTATGCTATTGTGTTAAAAAATTGCATTATCGAGTGTATTTTTTACAAATATATCGATAAAACTCAACCAGACCCAAAAACATATCTTACCCTAACTCCAGTGCTATTTTTAATCCTAAGCTATATTTTCTTATCTATCAACTAGCTTTGACCCGGCCGAATTACTTTAATTTACTGAGAATGGAATGGGGGAGAGAGCTAGAGCAAAAAAAACATTTATTTGGGTCGAACCAACAATTTGAATTTATTTGAGTCCATATAATTTTACCAATAAAGAAATAGCGACCATCTAGTTATTCACATTAAACCAATTCACACCTTCATTATCGATGTTTCCACATTTATGTTTGTTACATAAAAAAATAGCAAAAATTACATTAGAGTTGATATTCTTTTTTTTTTTGGCAGCCAATGTAATAATTCTAATTTAGACTCAAACTAAATAATTGTTTATTGGTATGACCTTCAAGTGATATTACCAAATATGATTTGACTGGTAATAAATTGGGTTTGCGAAGGATGTGTTTTTGCAATTCATAGTGGAGGGAATTTTTTAGGCCACGTTTGACATTAGTTGTTCATTCACCACCACATCCAACGCTAAGGTATCACTTTCCCATAAGACTTTTTAATTTACTGTGAAATGAGATGATCTAAATTCTTTGAGTTTTAGGTTTCAAAATAGTAAATTTGCAATCACTTATTTACATAGTTTTCATCTCCTACTTTTAAATGTGTGAGATTTAAAGTTTCTTTATCTCAATTTCATAGCAAAATATGAACCTGTAAACATTGGCAGAGGTGAGTGAACAACTAAAGATCACAATGATCGTAGCTTTAGTGGTATGGATGTATATTTGAGCTCATAAATCAATTACCAGCATGACAGCATCTCATCTTTCATTGGAAACTAAGCAAAATTTAGGGAGTCATTCACTGTTATATAAAAATATTTGAGTAAAATATGTTTGAAAACTGAAATTGCATGCATGAGTGAATAATAGAATTCTTAATTGATATATATATAATGGAGGAGTATATTATACCTATAACCCATTAAAAATATACAACAAATTTGTTCAGTCTAATTTGTTATGACCAAGGTTGTCACTCGATTCCACCAATGAGTCATTTAAGCAAGTGAGTTAAGGATTAATGGATGAATTGGATTAACCTGGTTAAGCCTAGCTTTACCCAGGTGCATGAAAATTTATTGATTTCACATGTATTATGCTTAGATATTAATGAAATTTCTATGATAAATTTAGATACAATGGCGATTTAATATAACTTATTCGTTGGAATTGAGTTTCATTTTTATACTTTTCTCTCACTTGGAACTGATGCTTTAAAATGACGCTTTAATTCTAATCTCTTCCCTCTTTCTTTTTATCTTTTTCCATTTCATTTTCTAGTTTTTTCTTTTCTTCTTTTCATTGCATATCATATTCCATTCTCAATGTTCTTACTCTTATTCTCCAATTCGATTTCATGTATATATACAAATGAGGACATTTGTCTTTGTTAATCACACCAAGTCTCAATCCAAATATATGTTCGCCTAATCTTGTAGCTTATTCTTTGTTTGAGATGTGGTTGATTGGTGATGTGACCTTGCTGCTGGAAGGAAAATGGAATTGACTATTGAGGAACTGTGTTGGCTTTTGAGATGATTGGGACTTGTATTGTTGCCTGCCGATACTAGAGGAAAATATATTATGGGATAACCGAACACGGGTGGTTGATGTATGTTGCTGCATGGGTCTTTGATAAGCAAAAGGACGACATGTCAACAGAGCTAGTGATTAAATTTGTTGAAAATGATGTCGGTTTGAAGTGACTCGGTGCTTAGATGAGTTAGTTGAATCAGCTCGATTTCCTAATTCAACTGGTTTTCTTAGTTTGACCACGTTTGGGTTGATAACCAACTGGGCCGCCAACATCCTAACAAATACTCGGGTTTGGGCAAAACTGATTCGCCCAACCATATCAAACTTGGGTTGACAATCAGGCTTATGATTCTTGCCATTTTTAGAAGATACATTCGTTCAAATTCCAATACTTGTTTGTTTTCTACAAATAAATAAGTTTAATAATTGTAAAGGCAAATATACCATTCATACTTTCGCTCTCGTTGTAGAAATTTGAAACGTGAAAATACTTTTCTCATCCCAGTCTTATATATTGTAATGTGTTTAGACGTAGACATATGTCATTGCCCAAGAAATTCATTAACATGTCAAAAAATGGTGAAATGTACATTAAGCTCAATCTCGTACAATGATCATTGAATCTACCCATGCCAGATTAGGAACGTGTTGAAAGTTTAGCAGTTAACCCGGCTAAAACGTTACAAAAACCAGTCCCAAATTGTCTGCATAAGGATATGATTTCTTCATAGTTAATTCTAAAAATTAATACTAATTTAATGTTTTGACATTGCTTCGACCTATTTAATACTCTAATTTTATATGCAATATTCAACCAAGTGATATATGGGTTGTAATTTTAAAGTTATCTTCTGTTTATAATATACATTGAAATATAAATTAAGTATTAAAATAATAAAAAATATGAAAGGCGAAGTATCAAATCACCAAATAAGTACTTATGAGAGATTTAGTTGCTAGCTAATCGCTGAAAAGGTCTTCTGATTTTTGAGATTTTAGGTTTGTGTATGTTTTTCTTTTAAAAGATACAACAAATATATGTATCGTGATTGGTTGTAGGCCTTCTCTTTCTTAAAGTGGTCATGGTTTAAATCCCCATATGTTTTTTTTTTTGAATAAATAAAAAAGAAATAAGTAGTTGTGAAGACAAAAATGTCTTTCCTACTTTCACTCTCGATCCAGGAAATTTGAAATGGAGAAATGGATTTTGACTTTCACCTTTAATAATACTAGCTTATAACCCGGCCCGTTAGCCGGAATGTTTATATTTGATTTTTTTATACTTTTTATGTTACGTTAAAGTCTATCAACCCGTTTAATTTTATTGACAATCTTTCAATTGAGATGAAACATAAAGAAGAATATATAGGTCGAACATTCAGAGAAATATCATCATTTGAGAAAATAAAATATAAAATGTATAAAACATCTCATTTTCATAATGATAATTAAGCCCAGTTAATATGTTATTAGTTAGTTGATTGTTAAGAAAGATAGAGTATAAAAGCTCACTGGAATTCCCACACGACCCATAGATAGTTTGAAACTGAATCTAAAACCTCACAATCCTACATAAATGGTTCAATGCTCTCATTTTGGGGGCAATATGCTACTAATAAAAAAGAAATGGAGGGTTGTAGGTTCAAGTCAACTATATACTAACAACCCAGCTAAGAGAGGACCATCAAAACTTGAGAGCAAACGACAAAATTGGATTACCTCCAATATACTAATAGACTCGATCAAAGTAATATGACGCAAAATTAGACAGTCCTTATCTATCAGTTCCAGCAGGCTGAATAAAGAATCGACCTACTTCATTAAATCAATCAATAATTACTCGTTTTAAGATAGAAATAGGTTGTGGTAGCTGCAAAAACCATAAACCTAATGATCCAATAGCCATCACTCTCCATTGAACGACCAAATTTTTATCTACTCTATCTTCAATCTCAAGAAGCATATGTTTCAACCAAACATTCACTTTCTAATCCTCCTTCTGCAACTCCATTTCTGCTACTTTGATGGACCTTCTCTCTGCGGCCCTCAATTTCTCTTCCAATTGGGGTTCTTGTCAACTCGCTCTTCAACTCCTCAATCCCCTTCCTGTGTTTTGCCAACTCATCTTCCTCAGGGGCAGTTCTAATAAGTTCGCTAAAACCAAAACTCATCTCCAATTCCATAAATATGCTCATCTCCCCCCTTGCATGCCTTCACCTGCTTCAGCACACTTCCATGTCCTTCAATATCCTCTCCATTTTCATCATCTCTCACTTCTCTCACTTCAACTGCTCCAGTTTTTCTTCCGTGTCTTTCAACACCCTCCTCAATTCGATCACTACCCTCAGTAACTCCATCTTCTCTGCCTTAACCTGCTACAGTTGGAATTTTCTTCCCCCCACCACTCTCATTCTCAAACTCAATCCTAACTCTTCTACTCCAAGTTCAACACCCCAAACTCCTAGACTGTTGCATGAAAGCTCAATTTCTAACTAATTCTAAAACAATATCAAAATTTGATTAGTGAGTTGGACCATAAGAATAAAAATTAATGAGGAAAATTATGGTTGCGGAGAACATTAGTTATCACAAAATCAAATATGAGTGAAAATATTGTAATTGAAAAGAAACCTTTTTTCTAATTTTGATCTTATTTTATTATTTCAATAGCTAAGCAAAGAACAAAAATAAAGTATCGGAAACAAACAACAAAAATGTAGACAGGGCTCTAGGAAAGTACAACTGCCCTGTTCTACACAAACATCTCTTTTGCTTACAAACAAATATAGTACCCAAACCATCGTTCAAATTCATTTTCTATATTTTATAAAAATCATTCATAAACAACAAACTTAGATAAATCGAGAAGGAAATAATAGCCTACCAGTTCAAGTCGATGAACCTTATATGAAGATAGAAACTCATTGA